AGTAATATCTCCATTTTCAATTCTGGTTTTAGTTATTTGTGTTTTCTTTTTTCTCTTTGTCAGGTAAAGGTCTGACAATTCTGTTGATCTTTTCGAAGAGCCAACTTGTGGTTTCATTGATTTTCTCTGTGTCTTTCTATTTTTTATTTGATTTATCTCAACTTTGTTTTCTTTGTTATTTCCTTCTTCTATACCTTTTTTGTTTAATTTGTCCTTTTTTTTAGTTCCTGAGGGTGTAAAGTTAGGTTATTGATTCAAAATGTTTTCTCATGTAGGCAATTTGTTACAAGTTCCCCTTCTAGCTCTGTTTTTTTCTATATGCCATTTTAGTATGCTGTGTTTTCATTAGTCTTTTTTGATTAACATTTTGTGATTTGTGATTTAGTCTTTGGCCCAGTGATTGTTTTCTTAGTCTATACAGGCTGCTATAACAAAATACCAGAGATAAGCTACCCAGTAGCTTAAAAGCAGCATAAATTTATTTTTCATAGTTCTTGAGGGTGGAAGTCTGAGATCAGGGTGCTAGCATTGTCAGGCTCTTTCAGGTTGCAGACTGCTTTTGTGTCCTCACAGGGCAGAAGGGGCAAAAGAGTTCTGTGGGATCTCTTTTATAAGAGCACTAATCCCTGGGGTGCCTGTGTGGCTCAGTGGGTTAAAGCCGCTGCCTTCTACTCGGGTCATGATCTCAGGGTCCTGGGATGGAGCCCCACATCGGGCTCTCTGCTCAGCGGGGAGCCTGCTTCCTCCTCTCTCCCTGCCTGCTTCTCTGCCTACTTGTGATCTCTGTCAAATAAATAAATAAAATCTTTAAAAAGAAAAAAAAAAAGAGCACTAATCCCATTCATGAGGGTTCCACCATTGTGACCTAAGCATCTCTCAAAAGACCCATCTTTTAATACCATCACAGTGGGTAGTAGAACTTCAACATAGGAACTTGGGGAGGACACATTCAGGCCATAGCAGTTGTTTAAGAGTGCATAGTTTAATTTCTGCATGTTTGTCCACTTTGCCTTATTAATTTCTAACTTCCTCCTGTTGTGGTCAAGGAAGTTGCTTTGTATGATATCTGTTAAATCTATTGATACTTGTTTTATGGGCTAATAAATAAATCCATCATGAAAAATGTGCTGTGTGCAATTGAGAAGAATGTGTATTTTGAGGTGGAATATTGTTATTTGTCTGTTGGATGTAGTTGGTTTGTTACATTGTTCGATTCCTTTATTCCTTTACATATCGCTGGTGTTGTTGTATCTTTTTTCTATGAACACTTTATTAGTATATAATAACCTTGTTATTTGTAACCTTTCAGATTTAAAGTCTGTTTTGTCTGACATTAATATTGGAGGCACCACAGCTCTGTTCTGATTACTGTTTGCATAAAAGAGCTTTTCCACTCTATGACTTTTAACATATTTGTGTCTTTGGATCTACTGTGACTCACTTGTAGACAGCATTTGCTTGGATCATTTTTAAATCCATTCTGCCAATCTCTTTTATTGGAGAATTTAATCCATTTACATTAAAAGTAATTACAGGAAAGGAGGAATTTCTGCCTTTCTGCTCTTGATTTTCTGTATGCCTTACAGCTTTTTGAGTCTCATTTCCTCCATTGGTGTCTGAGGAAGCCTGGGTGACAACAAAAGGGAACTTTGTAAGGTGGGCAGTAGTCCCTCTGTGGATGAGTTTGTTAATAAGGGAGATAAAGAGACATTCTAGGCTGAAGGATCAGCATGCCAAAGGGAATATTTTTTGTTCAAAGAGGCATAAGAGGACCTGTGTCATTGCCAAAAGAAACCTTAATCTTCTGAGACACAATATTGTCATGGGGCAGTTTTATGGTCTTTTACTGGGTGTTCAGATCTAGCATATGTTGTTGAGTTGTGACTCTGGGAAGCTTGCTAGAACTGAGTCTGAGTGCTGACAATGCCAGGGAAATGATTGTCACATTCACCTTGTGGTCAGCGGGAGGATTAATAAAAGTAAGAAAAACACACCAAGCAATGCATATGTGCCAAGCACTCTGTTGTTTGCTTTATGAGTATTTTCTCTTTAATTCTCACAACCACCTAGTAAAACAAGAATTAATTTTATTTTGATGTAGAAATCAAAGCTTGAGAGATGAAGGGACTTCCTCCCACTTATACAGGCATACCTCATTTTCTTGTACTTCACTTTATTGTGATTTGCATTTTTTACAAAGTGATGAAGGTTTGTGGCAATGTTGCATCAAACAAATCTGTTGACATCATTTTTCCAACAGCATTGGCTTGCTTTGTGTTTCTGTCACATTCTGATAATCCTCAAAATATTAAAACCTTTTCTTTATTATTATACTTGTGGTGGTGGTCTGTGACCAGTGATCTCTTTGATGTCACTGTTGTCATTGTGTGGGACGCCAGGAACTGCACTCATATAAGACCATGAACTTAATAGTGTGTTCAGACTGTTCCACTAACCTCCTGTTCCCCCATCTCTCTCTTCTCCTCAGGCCTCCTTATCCCCTGAGACACAATATTGAAACTAGGCCAGATGATAACCCTACAATGGCCTCTAAGTGTTCAAGCGAAAGGAAGAGTCACACATCTCTCACTTTAAATCAAGAGCTAGAAATGATTCAGCTTAGCGAGCAAGGCATTCAAAAGCCAAAAGAGGCTGAAAGCTAGGCCTCTCGCACCAGACAGCCAAGTTGTGAAGGCAAAGGCAAAGTTCTTGAGGAAAATTAAAAGTGCTACTCCAGTGAACACACAAATGTGTGAACACCAGCCATGACATTCCCATAAACCAAAGCCTAATCCGGAGCAAGGCCCTAACTCTTCAGTTCTAGGTAGGCTGAGAGAGGTGAGGAAGCTGCAGAAGAGAAGCTGGAAATGAGCAGAGGTTGATGCTTGCAGTTTAAGAAGCCATCTCTCGAACAGAAAAGTACAAGGTGAAGCCGAGAGTGCTGATGGTAGGAGCTGCGGCAAGTTCTCCAGAAGATCTAACTAAAACAATTCATTGAAGGTGGCTACACTAAACAACAGATTTTCAATGTAGATGAAACACCTTCCATTGGGAAAGTTGTCATCTAGGACTTTCACAGCTAGAGAGAAGCCAGTGCCTGGCTTAGAGCTTCAAAGTACACGCTGACTCTGCTTAGGGGCAAACGCAGCTGATGACTTTAAGTGGAAACCAGTGTCCACTGACCATTCTGAAAATTCCAAGGACCCTTAAGAATTATGCTAATTCTCTTCTGCCTGTGCTCTGTGAATGAAAGAACAGAGCCTGGATGACAGCACATCTGCGTATAGCTTGGCTTATTGAATGTTTTAGGTTCACTGTTAAGACCTAGTGCTCAGGGGAAAAAAAAAAAAGATTCTTTTCAAAAATATATGGTCTGATTGACAATGCACTGGTCACCCAAGAGGTCTGGTAGAGAAATGTACAATGAGATTAATGTTTTCATGACTGCTAACACATCAGTTTTGCAGCCCATGAATCAAGTAATTTTGCCTTTCAAGTCTTTTTAAGAAAAACATTTTGTAAGGCTATAGCTGCCGTAGATAGTGATTCCTCTGATGGATCTGGGCAAAGTCAATAAAAATCTTCTGGAAAGAAAAAAAAAATCTTCTGGAAAGAATTCATCCTTCTAGATGCCATTCATGATTCATGATTCATGGAAAGAGGTCAAATTATCAACATGAACAGGAGTTTGGAGGAAGTTGATCCAACCCTTGTGGATGACTTTGAGGGATGTAAGGCTTGAGCAGAGGAAATTACTGCAGATGTGGCAGAAAGAGCAAGTGAACTCGAATTACAAGTGGAGGCTAAGGATGTGACTGAATTGCTGTGATCTCATTCAGCCGAAGGGACGAGGAGCTGCTCTTTACAGATGAGCAAAGAACATGATTTCTTAAAATGGGGTCTCCTCCTGGGGGAGATGGTGAAGATTGCTGAAATGACAGCAGAGCACTTAGATTGTTACCTAAGTTAGTTGATAAAGCAGCAACAAAGTTTGGGAAGATTGACTCCAGTTTTTAAATGGGTAAAATGCTGTCAGACAGCACTTCATGACAGAGAAATCATTCTTGAAAAGTCAACCGATGCGGCAGACTTCATTGTGGTCTTATTTTAAGAAACGGCCACAGCCACCCCAGCCTTCAGCAACTGCCACCCTGATCAGTGAGCAGCCACCAACAAAAGACCCCCTCCTCCACCAGCAAAAAGATTATGACTTACAGAAACTCAGATTATGTTGAGCAATAAAGTATTTTTCAATTAAGGTATGCATATGATAACATTTTGTATAAACATGAGGAAAAAATCCACTGGACTCACTTCATTGCAGCACTCGTTTATTACAGTGTTTAGTACAGTGGTCTGTGACCAAACCTGCACTCTCTCTCTCTAGTAGGACTGTGTAGAAGGCAGCTGCCAGTCTCGACAGGCTGATTCAGGCCCAGGAATGTGGGTGCAGAACTGGAGACATTTTGTTGTTTGAATGCTGCATCGAAAACCCTTAGCTGAAAGTTCAGGTTCCAGCACACAGTTGAGGGGCACGGCCAGCCCTGAGGCTCAGCTGCCGCCGCTAATGATACTGCTGATCACTGCAGTCCTCTTCCTATTCGCCTTTAGTGCCAGAGCTCTTACTTTCTGTGCCTCTGAAGGTGCATAGCCTTGTCGTTCTTTCGTCAGTGGCTTCTTCATCAGCAATTTCTCCCCCAACACAACTGCTTAAAATCCTATTTAAGGTGTCTGACTTCCCTTTGATGCCCAGCACAGAGATAGACTCCTGGGAAGTGCCCAGTGGTGCGTGCCTTGGTTCTTTCGGGATCTGTACCAGTGGCTGCACGACAGGTTCTAATCACATCCGACTAACCCAAACTAATGAAGCTACTCTCACTTTACAGGCATCGATGACCTTCAATAACTTGGTCATAACTTGACCGTGAGGGCAGCTGCACTCAGCCCAGAGGACTTGTACTGAGAGGTGATATGGAAGGCTGTTTTTGGGCTTCGGATCTCACTGGGTAAAGCCTCACCTCTCCTCCATGATGTCTCCTTCATTCTGCCTTTTCTTCAAAACACATCTTTAGGGCACCCTTCCTCCTTCCTGCAGCCCAGGTGGGTTTTTTCACCTTCTCCTATCTGGTGCTCTTTGTGTCTCCTTGGAATATATGGGGAAATAAATATACTTCCCCTGAAAATGGCTCAAATGCCAAAGGAGGACTTGTTGGAAGAAAATAGGTGTGTCTTGTAAGAACCTCCAAAAAGTGAAACGGTAAGTAAATAAGAGGTGATTAGGAAGACTCACTAGATGTGACAGACCAGAATGATGAAGCAGCCATGTGAAGATGATGATAATGATGAAATTAATAGCTAATATTCACTGAATGCTTTTGAGGTGTCAGGCACTATAAACATTTTGTACCAATTAACTCATTTAGCTTCATAATAATCCTGTGAGGTGTTACAGTAGATGGTGAAGTAATTTGTCTAAAGTCCTATAAAGACAGTATACATGCAACTTGGATTTATATCCAGGTAACATGACTTCTGGGCATATACTCTTCACACACACACACACACACACACTCGAGCTCTTGAAAGGTAGAGTGTGTCTTATTCATCTGACTCACAGTAGATGCTCAAGAAGTGGTTAACAGACGTGACTGAGTATGATTCTCCATCAGTGACATTGTAACATCATGATCTTAGCGCAACCTTCCAATAAGATAACATACTCTTACTGCTCTAAGTCCTTCACTATATTTAACCTTGGCTTTCTTTTCCTAGTTCAGTATCACTGTAAAATGTTATCATGTGCATGCTCATGCTTAATTGACAAAGTATGAATATTTGGATGAGTCCTCTTATAACAGACTAACAAAATAACCTAAAACTATGCGTAGTGGAAGCAAATAAAACCTAGGGGTTGAAGTAATTCTTCGTCTTTATGGTACCAGTGCTTGGAAGAGCAGGGGAAGCACAGAGTGGGAGAAACAGAAAGCTTGCCATTACCCTGTAACTAGATATATTCAGCGGCCAATCTGTCCATAATCACAACCGTTCTTAATCCTTGTTTGGTACCATTCTGTGCTTCCCTTGTCTCTCAAAGATCCTTCAACATTCCTTGGAATCTCATAAATAAAATTAAATCAAAGGAAAGATAAATCTCTTTAAAAAATCACCACCCCATTCCAAACTATTTCCACCTCTTAGTTTTCAGTTAAGGTATCTCACGTACTAGAGCAGAATATTTTGTCTTAAGTTGGAAACCTTATCACTCATTCCACATCAGAATTATGTCAGTGATATAATATTCCTTTTTAAAATAATTTACTTACATCAGATGCCATAGAGAACATAACCTGAAATATAAGCGGTAGAAGTGCCCTTTATTTCCAAGTGTCCGGACTGTTCTGACGATTACTACTTATCACCTGTCTAGTCACAAGACAGGAAACCAGGGGCCAGTCAGACTATTTATCTAAAACTATTTGAGCCAGCATCTGTACAAACCATGAGTATCTCTCAGTGTTTGGTAGAGAAAATAAAAACTGTCTTATTTCAAGAAGACTTACAAGTAAATATTTTCAAAACCAGTAGGCAGGCTGGAGGAAAAGTGGTGGGGACAGCTCTGGACTATTAATTTCAATGTAAATGCTCATCACTATGACCCAGCGTGGAGAAATGACTGTTGCTGGTACCAGTAATGCTGCCAGCAGTGGTAGCACAGTGCCACGGGACCTGACACTAGACGCTGGATCGTGGCATCTAGATGCAGCAAACGTGACAGAACAGGCTTGTGTACTTGGCGTAGAATGACTCCCAGAGTACGTGGCCCTCACACAGCTATGCAGTTAGTGCTCATCCCTTAGTATTCGGATTGCAAACCACATCCATCATTAAGCCTGCTCTGATCTCTCCTGCTAGTTTGTTGTTTTCTGGTTATGTTCTCACTGCACTTGTAAAAATTAAAATGTGTGAAACTGACACCAAAATAATGATATTCTTAGCACAGAGATCAGGCCGTTTTTCTCTAGCTTAGCTAGTCTCCCCTAAAGGCTATAGTAAGGCTTAATTCTTCAAAAGGGAAGTAGAAAATCTGGTAAGAAATATCAGTGTCACAGTGAAAGAGTTCATTATATACAAACTGATTTTATTATTAGAGACCAAAAACTTTATTCACACCAACTTTTGCTTCTTCTGCAGCTTTAATTTTTAACTTTAAAACATTTTCTGGATCCACTGGGTGACTAAATATCTTCACATGCCCCTTAGCTAAAGAAACTTCTATGTAGGACTTGAGTAAAATGGCATGCTACTGCTATAAGAAAGGCATATCCATTTATAATCTACTTGTTTGCTCTCCTGTAGAACTGCTTACAAACAGCATCATTGCAAAGAAAGGTTTACACAGAATTCCTACATCCGTCAGGCTGTTCTCGGATTAATCTTCTGATGTCTAGCAAGGTAAGAACTCATAGTGGACAGTTTGCTACATTTCTCATACAAGCTCTCTCCAGTGTGAATTGATACTGAATAAGGGATACACCTTAACGGAAGGACTTCCCACCATTTTTATATTCCTATTCCTTCCCTCTTGTGTGTACTCAGTTAAGAAATTCATATTCCCTAATGTCTTCCCCATGTTACATATATAGTGTTTTTTCCCAGTGTGGACTTGTGTCAATTAAGGGATTAATACTGGCTAAGGGCTTTCTCACATTTATTGCCTATGAATTATTGCCTTCATAGGCAATAAATGGTCTCTCCACAGTGTGAAGTATGATGGACAGTAGGCTTGTACCCCTGCTAAAGGCCTTCCCATATTTACTACATTCATGAGACTTTTTTTCCAGTAAAAATTTTCAGGAAAGATCTATGGCTAAAGCATATTATGACAAATATTCTGTTCATATAGTTTCTCTCTCATGTGATTTCTCACATGTGTAATCATTCATATGGCCTAAAGGCTTTTCTATACTTATTGCACTACTGGGTTTCTCTCCATTATGTATTCTCTGATGGGCAGTAAGATTTGAGCCTTTGCTAAAAGCCTTCCCACACTCGTTACATTTATATGGCTTTTCTCCAGTATGAATTCTCTGATGTACAGTAAGGTTCGAACTACAGCTGAAGGTCTTCCCACATTTAATACATTCATAGGGCTTCTCTCCAGTATGAATTCTGTGATGTTGAAGCAGGGACGACCTATGACTAAAGGCTTTCCCACATATATTGCATTCATAAGGTTTCAATCTGGTGTGATTTCTTAAATGCATATTCAGTGATTCTGGCTGGTTGAAGGATTTCCTGCATTTCTGACATTCAAAAGGCTTTTCTTCATTATGAATACTCTGATGCTGAATAAGAAATGACAAGCTGCTGAAGACTTTCAGACATTTGCTGCATTCGAATTGTTTCTCTATAGTGTGGATTCTTTGATGTCGAGTAAGGTGGGAGCTACAGCAAAAGGCTTTTCCACATTCACTGCATTCATAAGGTTTCTCTCCGGTGTGAGTTTTCTGATGGTGAATGAGAGATGACCTATGAATGAAGGCTTTCTCACATATTCGACACTCATAGAGTTTTTCTTGAGTATGAATTCTCAGATGTTCAATAAGATGTGAAACACGACTAAACGACTTTCCACAGTTCATACATTCATATGGCTTCTCTCCAGTGTGAGTACGCTGATGGTTAGTGAGTGAGGACACATGGCTAAAGGCCTTCCCACATTCAATACATTTGTAAGGTTTCTCTCCACTGTGACTTATCTGATGTCGAGTTAGGGATGAGCCATGGCTAAAAGTCTTCCCACATTCATGACATTCATATGGTTTCTCTCCTGTATGAATTCTCCAATGGCGATTAAGGATTGATTGTTTGCCAAAGGCTTTCCCACATTCATTGCATGTATAGATTTTCTCTCTATTAGAAGTCTGATTAAGGGTAAGAGATTTGCTCTGGCTGAAGGCTGACACACTTCCTTTAGAATCCAAAAGTTTCTTCCCACCATTGATCTCCTCATTTTTTATAACAGACTCTTTTGGTAAGCTCTTCTTACATATATCATGTTCATGTGATTTCCCTTCAGCAGAAATTTTCTGTGGTTCAGAAAGAATAGACTTCAAAGAGAAGATGCTGCTAAATTTATTGTATTTGTAAACATTTTCCCCAGTAGGACCTTCTCTAAAGGTGAGGGTCACTGGTCTGAAATGTTCTACCTGATTTTCATGCTTCCCTTCCAACTTTTCTATATATTCCCAGTCCTTGTTAAAACTGGAAAATTCATGACTGTGTTTTATCATTTTTTCTGTTATTACCGTTTGGGGTGAATCTTCATCATAAATATCCTCCTTCGTTACTAATTCCTTGTTTTCCCATCTTGATTCCCAATCTGAAATATATCAAGAAATCAAAACACTGCTTTTTCTGTACTTCTTGAAAAGAAACTACAATGGTAGGAATAAGAGATAAGAAACAGAGCACATCTCTACCCCCAGAAAGCACAGGACTGAATTCTCATTCAGTGATTTCTGAACAAGGTTCAAATGGAGCAGAGACTACAGCTAGCTCGCAAAGATGGAAACAGAGTGTAATAAGGGAAATCAGTTAAAAACAGGCAATCAGTATGTGGAATAAAAGTGAAATTATCAGGAAAAAATGCACAAAGTCTTCTGGATTCCAAGCCAATATTCTATTTTGTACCTACATTTTTGTGAAAGACCACATTTTGTCTCACAGCCTTGGTTCTCCAACTTTCAATTAATCTCAATTTGCTGTCAGATTAGTATGCTTAAAATGCACAATTTATAGTAGTACATTAACAAGTTAATAGTGGGGCGCCTGGGTGCCTCAGTGGGTTAAAGCCTCTGCCTTCGGCTCAGGTCATGATCCCAGTGTCCTGGGATCAAGCCCTGCATCGGGCTTTCTGCCTGCCTCTCTGCCTACTTGTGATCTCTGTCAAATAAATAAATAAATCCTAAAAAAAAAAAAAAAAGTTAATGAACAAAATATTCTTTATCATTCAGATTTAGGCTTTGTTTAAGATCTGTATGAAATCATTACGTTATTGGACACTAGAAAGTATTGTTCCTAGAAACCTTTTTATACATTCTTTACTTCTTCTAACAGTTCCGTTCACATTTGACCTTTGAAGCTCAGCATTATGGGCAAAGCGATTTCCCATCTTACTGACAACCTTTCTTCACCTAAAACCATTGGTATATTTTTCCATAGGTGGTCTTAAAGAGAACTTGCTTTTTTTTTTTCCCAAATGAAATAACAATTTGAATTATTATGATGGCAAAACCTTCACTTTTGATTAGATAATACAGAAAGATAATTTGGGATGGAAGAATGACTGTTTTAAAATCTAAGCTAAGAATGAATGAATGAATAAATAAATAAAATCTAAGCTAAGGATCCCTCAATTTGTTATCTTTGGGATCTCTGAAGACAGTATCCTTAAAATACCCTAAATGCCTCCAACTTTCTACAAGCATGTTTAACAAATGCTTGTTTTGCCTGATTCTCCATGACTTATCTAGAAACATACCTTTTTTCTCCACCATCCAAGGTTCTTTCCCATCCTCCAGTAAGGTGATCACATATGGCTTAGGTATGGAAAGACCTGCTTACAGGAAAAATACAGAACCTGTTTAAACTACGGTTTTCAGGGACGCCTGGGTGGCTCAGTTGGTTAAGCAGCTGCCTTCGGCTCAGGTCATGATCCCAGTGTCCTGGGATCGAGTCCCACATCGGGCTCCTTGCTCGTCAGGGAGCCTGCTTCTCCCTCTGCCTGCCATTCTGTCTGCCTGTGCTCGCTCTCTCTCCTTCTCTCTGACAAATAAATAAATAAAATCTTTAAAAAAAAAAATAAACTACGGTTTTCATGGATAAAAGGAACCAAAGGCAGTTTTGAAGGATGGTCATTGAAAGGGGAAGATAAACTTCAGGGAGGGCACAACAGAGCCCTACACCTTTTCGGGAACATGAAACAAAATCTCAGCCATTTACTTAGGAGAATCCCCAGCAATTCTGGGGTGAAGAATTGTGAAAAGCTGGGGTGAAGAGGGAGATATGCTTACCTAGAGAAACCAGGTTCTCATAATTCTGGATCATCACATCCTTGTATAAATCCCTCTGAGCAGAATCTAGCCATCCCCACTCTTCATGCGAGAAGTCTATGGCCACATCACTAAATGTCACCTGAAATAGCAAACGTATTTAGGCTAAGTCATAGCCAAGGCCACAATTACCCTGGCTGTAGAAAAAAGGGAACAAGATTCAGTTGTGGCAATGACCAGGCATCTGATCTAACTTAAATAGTAATTGGATAATTATGTGTTTGGCATTGTTTTACAATAAGAGTAAGAGACGAGGGTGTGCCTGGGTGGCTCAGTCATTAAGCGTCTGCCTTCAGCTCAGGTCATGATCCCAGGGTCCTGATCAAGCCCCATATTGGGCTCCCTGCTCAGAGGGAGGCCTGCTTCTCCCCCTCTCACTCCCTCTGCTTGTAGTCCCTCTCGCTGTCTTTCTGGCAAATAAATAAAATCTTAAAAATAAAAAAAAAAAAGACAAATATAAGAGCTTTGCTTCAGGAGAGTTAATTCTTGTCAAAAGGAAAAGAATTCTAAAATTGTTTTAAATCAGCATTCAACATTTGACAGCATATAGTCAAGTGCTTAGTTATGTTTTTTGTTGCTTACTTGATAGGTAAATAAAAATCCACTAAGGTTTAAAAATCCAATAAATTCAGAAAACAAATCCTTGAAAGATAGAAATATACATAACTAATCTATAAACAAAAACCATTTATAGTATATAATTAAGCCCTGTATTGATAATCTATAATTAAAATAATTTGATACCACTGGACAAGAAGACTAAAGAATAGTTTATGCCATAGGCAGTTCATGAATTGGACCGTAAATAAGGGCAAAGAATTAGAGGACACATTTCAAGGAAAATATTCTAAGGAAACAGTACTCATTCATGATATTTTTTAAAGTAGCAGAACTTTAGAAAAAGCTCAAATGTTTAGTGATAGTTTGTCAGTCAAATTATAGCAAAAAATGTATGCATTTTGGGCCACCTGGGTGGCTCAGTGGGTTAAAGCCTCTGCCGTCGGCTCAGGTCATGATCCCAGGGTCCTGGGATTGAGCCCCCCATCAGGCTCTCTGCTCAGCGGTGAGCCTGCTTCCCTGCCCGCTGCTCTGCCTACTTGTCATCTCTCTGTGTCAAATAAATAAATTATGCATTTAAAATGACATTCTTACTACTTTCACTGGTGAAATGGACATGGTTTGGCCAATGACAAAGTTTTCATTTTAAGAGTGGCTGATTCAATATTCTATTTGGATATTTTGCATGTATGTTCATTAGTGATACTGGTCTTTGGTTTTAAAGAGGTAACTTACCTTTGTCAGGTATTGGGGAAATAGTTAAAAATCACATCTGCCAAGCAGAAAATCCTCTCCAATATTCAGAAAACAACAGTTTTACTCCTGAATAAGCATCACAGCAGACTGTAACACACTTCATAGGCAATCACCAATGAGATTGCAAGGACAGAAAGAAATCTCACTCTTTAATAAAGCCGGGCATGTATAATCTATAACACAGACGTTTTCAAAATAAATAATTTGTCCTCAAGTAAGAGGACTCGGCAGCATCATTTGCATCATAGTTCATCCTAAATTCACCTGGTAATTGGAGTGGCCAACTGTTAACGCTTTTACCCCAAGAAAAATAAAACTTCCCCTAGCTTTATGACAGCAGGTAGTTAGAACTTGGATCCAGGAGCCTAAGCTAAACACCCACACAGACAGGGAGATAGAGGTACATTGTCCTTCATGTTTTCATTTAAAAGAGATGGCTGCAAGGCCTAAAGAAAGACTTTACTGGAGCGCCTGGGTGGCTTTTGTCAGTTAAGCATCTGCCTTTGGCTCAGGTCATGATCCCAGAGCCCTGGGATCGAGCCCCATGTCGGGCTCCCTGCTCAGTGAGGAGCCTGTTTCGCCCTCTCCCACTGCTGCTCCCCCTGTTTGTGGTCTCTCAAAGGAAGGAAGGAAAGAAAAAGGAAAGACTTTACTGACTTGAAAAATTGGTAGAGGCTTATTTAGCTCTGAAAAAGATTCACAGGCATCTCAAAGGGACAGAGAAAGGACTTATAATTACAAGTTTTTCTCAAAGGAAATACTCTAAAAAAGGGAGAAGGGAAGGATCTCTTTCCCTTTTGGAACCAGGGAAAATTCCTTTTTCATTTGTATTTATTCTTACCAGGTATTAGGGTTATGCTAGCCTTATATGAATCAAAAAGTTTCCCGTCTTTTCCTACTTTCCACAGTGTTTTTGTTTTTTTTTAGATTTTATTTTTTTGACAGAGATCACAAGTAGGCAGAGAGGCAGGTGGCGGGGATGGGGGCGATGCAGGGGAAACAGGCTCGCTGCTGAGCAGAGAGCCCGATGTGAGGCTCAATCCCAGGACCCTGGGATCATGACCTGAGTTGAAAGCAGAGGCTTTAACCCACTGAGCCACCCAGGCGCCCCTCCACAATGGTTTTAAATGATTGGCTCTTACAAACCCCACTTGATAAACCAAATTTAAAAATCAATACCAGGGGCACCTGGGTCACTCAGTCAATCAAGCATCCAAAAATTTTCAACTCAGGACATGATCTTAGGATGGTGAGACTGAACCCCATGTCAGGCTCCATGCTTAGTAGTGAGTCTGCTTGGGATTCTCTCTCTCTCTCTTTCCCTTTGCTCCCTCCCCCCTCCCCACACACACATGCGCTCTCTAAAATAAATACATAAATCTTCCAAAAAATCAATATTAAATTAATGCATAGATACTATGTTTTATTCCACTAATGCAAAGATATTCCTTTTTTTTTTTAAGATTTTATTTATTTATTTGAGAGAGAGCATGAGAAGGGAGAAGGTCAGAGGGAGAAGCAGACTCCCCATGGAGCAGGGAGCCTGATACAGAACTCGATCCTGGGACTCCAGGATCACAACCTGAGCGGAAGGCACTCACTTAACCAACTGAGCCACCCAAGCACCCAAGATATTTCATATTTTAAGTTTTGAACACACATTAATGAACGTCATTGTATTAAGTCTACAAAAGAAAACTCACATAATCTTATTAACAGATACCCTTTGTTATTTCTTTCTTTCTTTCTTTCTTTTTTAAGATTTTATTTATTTATTTGACAGAGATCACAAGCCCGCAGAGAGGCAGGCAGAGAGAGAGGATGAAGCAGGTCCCCGCCGAGCAGAGCCTGACTCGGGGCTCAATCCCAGGACTCCGGAATCATGACCTGAGCCGAAGGCAAAGGCTTTAACCCACTGAGCCACCCAGGCACCCCTGTTCTTTATTTAGATGAGGGTTTCACAACCTTGGCACTACTGATATTTTAAGCGAGATAATTCTTTGTCGTGGGAGCTGTCCTGTGCATTGCAGACTATTTAGTAAGTAGCATCCCTAGCCTCTACCCATTAGATACTAGTAGCAATTCCCCTCTGCCCCCCTAGAATTATTCTTAGAAAATGAATTGTAAACCATAAGGGGTGACTGTGGAAGCAAGTGTCAGCAGCGTTCCCGGTCTCAGGCTACTGAACGCTAATGAACAGGATCCCATGGTCCCCTGGGGCAGGGCACAGGTTTAGAGCTATGGAAGAACATAGACCTCAGCCCCCTTCCTGCACCTGGCGATTGCTAGCAGAAACATCCTGCTTCTCCCTTATCCCATGACTGCCTCCCTGCGTGCTGGCGCGTAGGGGAGGATGCAAGCCTGCTTTATGGCTTCAAGATAGTTGCCATCCCTCTGTACTCCTCTCCCACCTTTTGATGCACCCGTCCTTGCTTTTCTGATTAAAAAAATAAAAGCTTTTGGGACGCCTGGGTGGCTCAGTTGGTTGAGCGGCTGCCTTCGGCTCAGGTCATGATCCCAGCGTCCTGGGATCGAGTCCCACATCGGGCTCCTTGCTCAGCGGGAGCCTGCTTCTCCCTCTGCCTCTGCCTGCCGCTCTGTCTGCCTGTGCTCGCTCTGACAAATAAATAAAATCTTAAAAAAAAAAAAAAAATAAAAGCTTTGTGCAGAATTCAGCTGCACATAGCTGCTGTCTCACGTGCAGAGGCAGTCCTGAACGGCCACTCAGATCGATGTCTGAGAACTTTATTTCAGTGCATGATGACATCTCCCCCAGGCTGTGACAACCAAAAATGTCTCCAGACATTATCAAATGTCCCTATGGGTAGGGCTAAGGGGGACAAAGTCACCCCTGTTTGAGAACCACCACTTTAGAAAATGTCTGTAGTTCCCTGAAAGTCTCTCTCCGCCCTGTCTACCTGTGCTCAAGGTGTTTCCTCAGTTTGGTGTGACTTCACTTACCTCTGCCTCCCTGGTACCATGGGCCGCCAAGGCCGGTCCCAGCCCTGCTTCCCCAGGAATCCTTCAACGCTCTATCCCGCTTCAACTGCCTGAGCAGCCTAGGATGTTCAGTCATCTTTGTCCCCATTAGCACTAAGGATGTTTGTTCCAGCACCCATCTTAATGTTTTCTGCTTGCCTTCTTTCTTACTTTCCTACCAGCCCTGTACTGATCAATACAGCCACTAGCCACATTTGGCTCTATACGTTTAAATTATTAAAAATTAAAAGTTAAGTAAAATTTAAAATTCTGTCTCTGGGTCACTTTAGTCATACTTCAAGCACTCAATAGTTACAGGGGGCTGATGGCTACTACTGCCATCACACTGCAGCACACAGAACATTTCCACCACTGCAGAAAGTTCTCTTAGTGTTACACTAGATATGACATGTCACTCTACACTCGGATCCATGTACAGTTCTTCCTAACAGGTACTTCATACGTTTATAAAATGAATCAAGGTGGCTCAGTCAGTTAAGCATCGTACTCCTCATTTTGGCTCAGATCATGATCTCAGGGTCCTGGGATCAAGCCCTGTGTCAGGCTCCATGCTCAATGGGGAGTCAACTGGAGATTCTCTCCCTCCCTCTCCCCCTCCTCCCCACTCTTGCTAGCATGTGCTCTCTTTAAATAAATCTTTAAAAATGAATCAATGAATGATTTTGGCAACTTTAGCTTTACTTTACTTTAGCTTTCACTTTAGCTTTTACTTTAAAAAAGAACAGTTTTTCGGGGGCCTGGGTGGCTCAGTTAAGTGTCTGCCTCAGACTCAGGTTGTGATCCCAGGGTCCTGGGATTGAGCCCCACATTGGGTTCCCTGCTCAGCAGAGAGCCTGCTTCTCCCTCTCCCTCTGCTGCTCCCCGTTTGTACTCTCTCTCTCTGTGTGTCACATAAATAAAATCTTTTTTAAAAAAAAGTTTTTCGGGGCACCTGGGTGGCTCAGTGGGTTAAGCCTCTGCCTCCGGCTCAGGTCATGATCTCCAGTCCTGGGATCGAGCCCCACATCGGGCTCTCTGCTCAGCGGGGAGCCTGCTTCCCCCCTCTCTCTGCCTGGCTCTTTGCCTACTTGTGATCTCTGTCAAATAAATTTTAAAAATCTTAAAAAAAAAAAAAAGTTTTTCAATTCTAGTTACCTAATAGTCCCAAGAAATCAGACTCTGCCCAACGTGTACATATGCCACTAATACCTTCCATGCAGGTTTCACCTGGCACTCCATGATTCTACCCTACCATTTCATTTTTTCAAAGCTTATTCACTCAACAGCTATCTACTAAGCCTCTGTTTTGTACCTGATACCACTCTGGGTACTGAAAACAGTCAACGGAAAACCAAAACAAAACAAAAAAATCCCTCCCTGAGCGAGAAGACAAATAATGAGCATATGCATTTAGTAAACAAAGCGTGTATTCTCTAGTGAGTGAGAATCCCTATGGAAATCAAGCAGTGAGGAGAAGTAATTGTTAGAAAAGTTGACTGAGTGTTCAGGGAAGCTTTACTAAGAAAGTAACCACTGAGCAGAGATAGGAAGGAGGTAAGAATGCAAGCGTGTACATATCTGGGAAAAGAGGATTCCAAGCAGATGGCACAGCAATTTCCAAGGCCTGGAAGCTGTAGCCAGTGGCTAGAGCTCACAGGGAACAAGGAGACAAGAGAAGTTAAGATGAGATCAAAGGGATAAAAGCCTAAGTGCACAAAGCTTTTTAAGTCACGGTAGTACTCTGACATCTGAGTTAGGGTCACTGAAGAGTTTTAAGCTGAGCATGACAGGATGGTGGCAGTGGTGGTGGGTGTGACATGGAACCAATGGTCAGGGTCTGTGGATATCCTGTGTGTGTTTTAGATCCAACTAGAGTGTCTGAAGGTCAGTTATAAGAGAAAGGAAAGAATCACGATGACTCCAAACATCTCTTGACTTACAACTGAAAGGACTGATAATATCATTAACTGAGACCACATAATAATACTTTTACAACCATAAAGCAAATAACCCCAAATTCCAAACTCGAATTTTGAATTGTAATAAAAAACAAACAAAAGAAAAAGTTTTGCTCCAGACTACTAAACAAAAATGGTAGAGAAGAGGAGCACTGAGAGAAGAGAGTACTTTGGAGTTCTCTGGGCTCCATCCTTTGCTATGATGAAAGGAAACACAGATCCGGTCCCTAAAAAGACTTTGTTAGGTAGGAGCTCGTGAGCAAAGCAAACACTCAAGAGTTCTGGTAAGATGGTTCAGGAAGATCTGGGGACATCACTGACTTACCTGGAACATGACTTGTCAACACAGTCCTCTTTCCAGCCTCCCGTCTTAAAGAAGAGTAGTGTCCTGAGAAAACAGATCAAGAACACAAAAAAGGACCCATGAAAAATGAGGCGTATCTCACAGCGCTGTGACACATCTACAAGTAAACACTGGGAATCACTTTCTAGGCCTTCATTCTTTCCCTAAACTAGCAGAGTGTTCTTGGCAGGGGTAGCCATTCCCCAGCTGCTACAGGCATGTAAATCGGCTACTACGTATTTTTTTAGACTCACAAAACAACAGTAACAATGTTAAGAGCTCATTCAGTCTTCACAACTATGCGAGACAGACATTCACATTATTCCACATTTCATTTCTAAACGATGAGAAAACCCAGCGATGCTGAACCAATGCGTCGAAGGCTGCATAAGTGGGAAGAGTGACTTTCACCACTCGATTGCCCAAAAACCATCGCGAAGGGCGATTTCTCTCAGTGCGTAGGATGCACAATCACTCGCCCGTTTCCTTCTTCTAGCAACTCTGAGGTAAACGACACCCCTTGTACAGAGCAGACAGGCCCAGGAAGCTAAGACCCTGCCGGGGCTCACCCCGCAGTGTAGACTCGGCAGCAGGAGGTTGTGGCGGCCGTGCCCGGCGCCCGGTCGCACTGCCGGGACCCACACTTGCCTGAGTCCCTGCGGGCCCTCCCTGGCCCCGAAGGCCGGGCCCGGGGATCCAGAGCCCACACCTCCTTGTACTCGATGCGGAGAGCGGACCACGGCCACTGCCGTGGTAAGAACTGCACCGCCCGGTGAGAATCCCGCCGCCTGCCTGAGATTACCGCGAGGCGGACGGATGACGGAGCCCACACCGGAACAGCGTTTCCCAGCTTCCTCCGCGTCAGCAGCAAGTTACCTGTGCCTCGCGCGTCGCCCCATAAAACCACACTTCCCAGAAGGCTGCGCGTTCACGCGCGCTTTGGGGGCCCCGCGAGAAAGCCGAAGCATGCAACCGTCTGTACCTTTTGCTGCAGAGCTGCTCCGCTAGGACGCGCACACCGAGTGTGGAGAGGACAGCGTGACGGCCCTCTGCGTGCTTCTTAAGTACAGTGGCGCGCGAAGCACAAAACTCCCCTTCTCAGAAAATGATGCGGCCGTGGAAAGTCCTCCCGTTCGCGGTTCGGCCCGCGCGACCGCCCTCCTGCCCGGAGGTGGGCAGCCTTGCTGGTGCCTGCGGAGAGCTGCGGTCTACAGTGGAAGGTCTCAAGTGAAATCCTGGGCTGCTCTGGCCAGCTCGGGTGGGTTCTGAGTGTTTGGCGCCGGCTTGCCCAGGTCTGTGGCTCCTAAAATGCCCTGTGTCCGGGCTGTCATGGCAACAGTTGTCAGCGAACAGACGACACTTGGAAATTCGTGCAGTCGCGTCAGGGCTGTGACACTGACTGCCACTGTCCTGTGTACAGGTCCTCGAAGGACTCAGAAACGGCGGCTTCAGGTGAGCACTTTAAGGAAAAAGGCCTTCAGTCCTGGAACCCATAGAGCCCGCTGGTGGTAGACATAAGTAGGACAAAGCAGTCTACTGCGGGTATATATTTGGGCTGTTTACTTTCAAGTTTACTTTTACTTATAACTGTTCATTTTTTATTTTTAGATCCTATTTGTTAGAGAGAGAGAGTACAAGTAGGGAGAGCGGCAGGCAGAAGGAGAAGCAGGCTCGCCACTGAGCAAGGAGCCCCATGCGCTCCATCCAGGGACGCTGGGATCAAGAGCCGAAAGCAGATGCTTAACCCACTGAGCTTCCCAGGCGCCCGTGTTCATTTCATTTTAATTATGTTTATTTTTAAATTGTAGTGTGACTATGAATTTTCTTGTATATGTCAAGTACTTAAGTGCATAAGATTCATTCGACAATGCTTCCAGCTTGGTATATATCTTGTGGCTGTGGTATTTAATTCCTGTAGCAAGAGTAGTTGGTAAAAACCCTGGCATCAACTAGATACTCCTCAAGGCTTACAGAAGGTAACAAGATTTGCCAGTGCAAAGTATTTTCCCTCCCTGTCTTCATTATACAATGACAAATTGTTTTCCAAAATTGTACCAATTTGCACTCTTGCCATGGTTTTTTTTTTTTTTTTAAGATTTTATTTATTTATGGGGCGCCTGGGTGGCTCAGTGGGTTAAGCCGCTGCCTTCGGCTCAGGTCATGATCCCAGGTCCTGGGTTCAAGCCCCACATCGGGCTTTCTGCTCAACAGGGAGCCTGCTTCCTCCTCTCTCTCTGCCTGCCTCTCTGCCTACTTGTGATTTCTCTCTGTCAAATAAATAAATAAAATCTTTAAAAAAAAAAGATTTTATTTATTTATTTGACAGACAGAGATCACAAGTAGGCAGAGAGAGAGGAGGAAGCAGGCTCCCTGCTGAGCAGAGAGCCCGATGCGGGGCTCGATCCCAGGACCCTGGGATCATGACCTGAGCTGAAGGCAGAGGCTTTAACCCACTGAGCCACCCAGGCACCCCATCTTGCCATGGTTTATAATTATTTTGGTTGCCAGTTATTACGGCCAGTACTGGATTTTGTGAAATTTTCAAATTTTGCCAATCTGCTAAGTGTGAAATTGTGACTCTATGTGGCTTAAGTTTGCATTTCTTTTATTGTTAAGAAAATCTTTTCATGTTTCTGTTGGCTTTAATATTTCCTTCTCTAAGAATTGCGTATCTTTTGGTCAATGTTGTTTTAGAGCAAAGGCCTTTTTGATATTAAAATACAAGTCATATAGAAAAATGCAAGATTTTAGGAGCACCTGGGTGGCTCAGTCGGTTAGGTGGCTGCCTTCAGCTCAGGTCATGATCCCAGGGTCCTGGATGGAGTCCTGCATCTGGCTCCTTGCCCCTCAGAGAGCCCGCTTCTCCCTCTCCCTGCTGCTATACCTACTTGTGCTCTCTACCTCTCTGTCAAATAAATAAATAAAAATCTTTAAAAAGAGAGAGAGAGAGAGAGAGAGAGAAATGCAAGATTTTAAAGGGGGAGTGCAGAGACCAGAATATTAGATTTTTCCCCCCCTTAGAATCCTGGGTTTGGAACTGGATTCAGTAACCAAATGTGTTTTCTACAGTTTTTGCATGTTTTAGGGTGTAAAATTCTTCGATTTTTCTCTTGCGAGGGATTTGCTGAGCAACTTGAATCTGTGAAGTGTTATCTTCCTCTACTCAGCAAATTTTCCTTTCCTTTATATATTGCCTCTTCCCCATTCTTTCTTTTTGTGAACACCAGTTGGTAGGTCTTTCTATTCTGTCCTTCATGGGTCTTAAATCCTCCTCTGTAATTTCCATCTTTCAGTGTCTGTATTGCATTCTGGATAATTTATTCTGCTTTGTCTCCTATTCATAATTCCCTTTCCAGCGAATCCTTTTAAATTTCAATTTGTTAAATACTTTTGGTAATGTGGTAGACACAGTTAACTCACAATATGCATGTGATAATACCCATAACAAGATTTTATGAATCTCCTTGTAAATTTATTTTTTTAATTCCTCAATTTGCTTTGTTTCCCTTTTTGGTTGGTTATCTTTGTGTGTCACTTCGTCCCTGAAAAATGACATTATGGGGCTTCCCGATATCCTTGTTTGAAAGTACCCTTCTTTTCTGGAGATTACCAAATTTCATTTTTGGACAAATTCTGGGATTACTGCTAGTCTGCAACCACTCTGAACTGTATTTAGACATAAAGTCCCTGCTCTGTCCATCCAGTAAACCTTACATAGAGTTGCTTCATTGTTGCTGCTTTTTCTCATAACCTTCCTGGGAGAGTTATAAAGCCTTCTCATTAGGAGTCCTCAGATTTTTGGCACATAAATTAAGTTCATGATAGGGGTGAGGGGAGTGGCTAACCTCAAAGGACTAGATGGGAAGGAAGCAGGTAGAGGTGAGAAGTTTAGAGAGCTAGTCGTTTAGTTTCAACCGCTATTTATGGCCAGAACATTACTTCAAAGCTGAACTCCTAACAGGTGAGTGCTCCAGAAAGGAGAGAAGCACTCGATGAGGAGAGAATGAGAGGAGAAATCTAGGGGCAGATGAAGTGGTAACTTTACAAATGACATTTTCTTGAAAGTAGAGCCAAAAGAGATCAGTAAGGAGCTAGGAAAACACTTTACATGACATACTGAACCCATTCCTTCCACTAGCCCGAAGCTGCCTTCTTTACTTTTTCTATTAGGCAATATTTACAGTAAATGATTTTACAGTTGGAATTTTTCTGGTCAAGGGCACATTTTAGAATACAAACTTAGAAGAAGAAAAGCCAGTTCATGTTGATTCTGAAACTGTCCCAAGACTTAGGGCAAGAAGTTAAGTTTGGAACTCTAACTTCCAGAGGAATTGGCAAATCATGTATTTTTGCCATAGAGAGAAATTCCTGCTGACACGTCTGGTAGTGATCTTTGTCCTTGTTACTGGCCCATCCTCTATCACTTTAAAATGAGCCTACTCATTCCACTATAGGCCAAAGGTTTTTTTGTTTTTGTTTTTTTTTAAGATTATTTATTTATTTATTTGACAGACGGAGATCACAAGTGGACAGAGAGGCAGTCTACCTGCCAAGCAGAGAGCCCAACGCGGGGCTCAATCCCAGGACCCTGGGATCATGACCCGAGCTGAAGGCAGAGGCTTTAACCCACTGAGCCACCCAGGCGCCCCTAGGCCAAAGTTTTAAATCCAGGAGTCTAGTCTCAGTTCTCCTGTCACTGGTTTGAAGACCTGTCCGTTCCAGTCTGGCCCAGGCCTGACCCCAGAATGTCCAGTGTAGAACCCGTGCAGAGCCTCCAACAAAACCTTCATGTTCTCTCCTTCCATCCTTGAGGGAATAGGACATCCTACATCACTGACTGTGTCACCAGCATTAGGTCCACACCAGGCTAGAGGGTGAACCCAGTGGGAAGTGTCAGGTGCGCATACCTTTGACCAGTAGTGTACACCATTGTTTTGGTAGTTTGGCTGGGTTCCCTGAGGGAAACTAAGGGCTGGTGTCAAGGGCCCTGTTTGTGGCTATGATGGGGAGAGGGATGCCTTCTCATTTCTTTTCCTCCCTCTTGGATCACGGAGGAATTGGAATAAACCTTGCTTTACTTCCAAAAGAGACTTCATTTAGACCTTAAGCCTGAGAATACTATTCTTCATGGGGTTTACAAGGTAGAAAGCTCAAGTTTTTCCCACTAGCTGATACTGCATGATTTCTCTAAAAAGTGGCTTAGGGAAGATGAACATCAATATGTAGGTTAGTCTGGGAAAATGAGTGGGTGGAAAGTTTTACTGTTTTTTTTTTTAAGTTCAGTGAACATTATAGCAAAATTTAGAGAAATATTTAACACTACCTTTAGAAAGTGACTTAACATGCTCATCTGTTGAAAGATATTATTAATAAATATAGGCATATTATGTGTATCCTTGTTCTTTTTAACTACTTCAACCCATTGTGAATGTTCTTGCAATATTAGTAACATACAACCTATGTAGTCATTAGAATGTCTGCAGTGTTCCACATTAGGAATCATAAAAGTAACAGAGTTAGTCTCCCTTGATGAACTTTTTCTTTGTGCTCAGATTTTTATTTAAATATGTGAAGAATATCCTTGTACACATATTGTTGCATATGTATTTGGTTTTTGGTTGTTCATGGTATATCCCTAGATGCTATATTACTGGTCAAAGAATTTCATTTTAGGCCAACAGACACATGAAAAATGTTCATCATCACTAGT